ATTTGCTGTTGCGATACTAAACTTTCATGAGGACCTATTACCTCCCTAGACTATTTAATACCGTATTCTAGGGAGGTAATAGGTCCTCATGAAAGTTTAGTATCGCAACAGCAAATTCGATCAAAGTTGAAGTATTTTTCAGACTCTTATCCCTATATACAACAAACTAATTAAAATTTAAATATACTTTATCCTTTTTCATTTTACTTGACTCATACATAAAAAAAATAGATATTTCATACTTATTCAATAAAGCAAATCAAAAAAGTTCTATTAGTATTTTTTACTATTATATTACTTATCGTATTAAATAACTATATAAAATATATTACTCCTTATCAACAAAGATGAAGTAATATGAGGGGAGAGAGTTCAACGCAATCAAAAAGTTGTTGGACTCGATCTGAATGATTGCTCCTTGTATCTTGTGAATCTTGTTTTTAAATCAAACACTTAAAACAAAAAGAAGATATTCTTCAAAAAAATATTTTTATATTATTCTGTCACACCATATGTAAAGTTAATTAACTTGTTGTCCTGTGCCCACGTGACTAGTAAATTAAAGTATAGAAGATGTCCCTGTAAGAGCAAATCTATACTTAACTGTAATTTTTTTCATTTACTTATGCAATATCTTGAAACTTCGTTGGTTAGTTATCTGAACTCTTATCTTGTTGGTGAGTTTTCAATTCCCCAATAACTCCAACATAATTTTACTACTTACTAAAAAAGACGCTGCAAGGTAGCTCGTGGCATACATAACTGTGCCAGCTTCAAAACACCACAATTCATTTTGTGGTGGGGTAAAATATCTCCAAGTTGACAAAATAATAATAATCTACAAATTGAAAAGAGGTATAAAAGCAAAATTCTATTGTTACGTTAGTGGAGAACACTTGCACCATTTCTCTCTCTTACATTATGCACTCATCATGAAAAGATAAAGATAATTACATTACACATCTGTAAATTCAAATATAAATATTTGCAACAAAAGAAAATAAGAAAAGTATTAATTATGCAGTAATGTAAATAAGTTATACAGAAATTATTGTGTGGAGTTTATAGTTATGGGAACTAGATAATGATGGGATTCAAAAATAGATGCTAAATATTATACGTTTGGTATCTAGATTTCTAAACCTATGATCCAACTAATTCTTTTAACCTCATTTACGCTACACAAGAATCCTATACCAAACCCATGATCCAAGTAATTCTTTTAACCTCATTTACACTACATAAGAATCCTCTTTTATGTCGAGGAGATTCCTTTTCTTTTTTTTTTAATTAAAGTCTCATTTGATCATTGATGTGCAAAAACTTACAATTTTGAGTTTGGCACTCCAAACTTTGTACGGAATAAATTTACAGCACTTTAATTCTGGAAACACAATCCCCATCTCAAATTCTAAATGATTTGCAATAGCATGAATATACAACAAAGACTAATCTATTCTAATGAAAAGTTACCAAATTGCTAATTCTGTGTGACCATCTTCAGTTGCACAAGCTCTGAACATTCCGGTTGTATTAAATGGCATGGTAACTTCCCCAGTGGCTGATACAGCAATCAGGCCAGTGGTTCCTCTTGGCGCCGATTCCTCTATAACGTAGTCTGCTGCCTCCTTGAGAGAAAGCCCTTTATACTCCATTAGAGCAGCCACATCTCTTGCTACAGTTGCACGGATTATCGCTTCACCTTGGCCTGTAGCAGAGACTGCACATAGTTTGTTTGCATATGTACCTGCACCAATAATGGGAGTATCTCCTATCCTTCCAACCATCTTGTTTACTAGTCCTCCAGTAGATGTAGCAGCAGCTAAATGTCCAAAGCTGTCAACAGATACACATCCAACTGTTCCTAGCTGACTATCTCCACTTGGAGCTGGTGTTTTGTCATCTTTTGGTATAGGCCGTGTATTATAATCAACCTGCAAATTGGTAGCAGCAATATTAACCAATAATACCGAAGCAGAAAGCATCTCAATGTTAGGAATTACAGAAGAATTGAGTCTTGAATCACGAGACTGAGTTGCCAAGAAGGGAATAGAACTAAAAAGCTCTGTTAGAGACATAGCCACATTACATTTAAGCTATTGAGGCCGACGCCAAAATCAAACTCACTTGAAGGCCACAAGAGGAAGACCCAAGTACAAATGGATAATATTTTTGTTGATGCTTTCTAAAAACAATACACCAAAGCTCTTAAAATTCACAATCAAAAGGTTAGATAAAAACAAGTACAATAAGAAAACAGTGGACTTCTATCAATATCAAGGCCAAAAGCATGAATATGCTATCTTGCAACAAAGATATAACAATGAAGAGATAGGGTTATATACCTGGACTTTGTTTGCTTCTTTTGCTTGTTTTAGTCTCTCGATATTTCTTGGCGTGATAAAATGGCTTGAGTCCGTGGTTTCAACCCCCTTGACAACAGAACCATCATAGTTCATCAAATAGATTCTATGTAAAAAAGGATTAGAAAAATGAACATAATACAATCATACAACTAGGGAGTTATATTATCAGAGGAAGTTAACTAATAGTAAGTTTAAAATGAATTAGTCACCTATGCCCGAATGGTCACATTAATTAACCAGAAAAACTTAGAGAAACTGGTAGCTGCTTGAAGTCCATAAACAGACCATCAGAAATTAGAACTGTAATTAAACAGTATTAACAGAGAGAATAATCTGTCAAGTCTTTGCATCATCCAGTTTCCGGATACAAGATATCATTCATCAGCATTAAGTAGTTCAATAACTTTCTTAACGTTTTCTTCAGGCATGTCCATAAGAGAGAAGACAATTAGAAAAATTTTACAGACCTGCTCCCTCGCAAATGCTTCCGCTCCCTCAAATGCAAGATATATATGTGGAGTTTTTTCCATGACCAGCTTAGCCAGAGATATAGCATTGACAACAGCGGTTAGGCCAGAAACAGCTCCACAGTTTTTCGTATTCCCATCCATGATACATGCTTCCATTTCTACTGTGCCATTGCTGGTTAAGACAGACCCTCTACCAGCATTGAAGTATGGGTTATTTTCTAGTTCCCGCACCTGCTTGATCCAAGACAGTTAAAAGCTATCATAATATCAGTAAAAGGTAAAATAAAAAAAACTCATTATACGGAAGGCTCCCGGAGGACCCAAGTTTTTCAGGAGCGTTTCTACGCACATATATGGAATGACACTTTCCCTTGCATGAATTGAAGTAGTGGAAGTATGTGTTTGTAAGAAAAACTAAAGCAGGGAGCAAGAGCACTGTTAACAAAATTAACAATAGTATCATCCTGCATGCTAGTGAGAGGTGACAACTTAAGGAGACATCACAAGAGAATGTTATTGAATATTGAGGTGAAAACTCCAACTCAATCTCAGAGGATCAAATAGAGATCATGTTTCTATAATCTTTTTGAAGCTTTAAATCAGGAACTCCAACTTGCAGAAGCTTTTATAGTTGATGTCATGTAGATCCATGAAATTACTAGACATCCAGTAAGTCAATTATTTCATAAGCCATAGATAAAAAGCTATTCATCCTAAGAATCAAACACTAGTCATCCTAACATAGAAAAACAAGTAAACAAAGATCCCTCACCCAAACAACCTGACGAGAATAAAATAAAATATACAAAAAGAGAGAAACCCATATTTTTTCCTCCATTTTTCATGGTAACAAGTGATATCCATCGCGAGTCTTGATGAGAAATTGAACAGATGCAAGGCAAAATCCTACATTCTATACTTTAAGATATGATAGGTAAAGTTGGTAAGTAGTATACCACGAGTTCAACAACGTCCAAAGGGGATTTTTGGGCCTTGATAGCATCGACACCAATCTGTAAGCAATAGCGAAGAGAGGCTTCTCTGGGCTCACGAAGCTCCGGCGGCAGATCCTTGGGTATGTCACCAGCTCCACCGTGCAACGCTATAGCCCAACCCATAATTCTCTTCTCCCTCTCGCTTACACCCAAATTAGTGTGATTGGTTTTTTTTTTTTTCCTTCTTCTGAAATTGGATACCCCTGATTAAAATAACCATTTTTTATTTAAATATGTACTAATTAAGATTTATATCATTTAAACACATACCTCAATTAATATTTGTATGACACTTTTTGCTTGACAAATTGTGTGTCTGAGGAACGTATTTTTTTTCTCCCTGCCACTTACTCCACCACACTAGTGTGGAAAATCTTAGAAGAAGAAGAAAAAATTACACTAATTTTGAAAAACCTCGTATAATAAACAGGAAAAATTGAAAGAATATTGGTAGAAGAATCCTATTATCTTTGTCAGAACCTCGTGCAAAATACTCCTCCACGGTTATTAGATAAAATCTCTACAACAACAATGAAAAGAGAGTTTGGCAGTGTCTCTTCACTCTTGTAGGTGGTATTTAATAAGTTCAGTCTAAACTTTTAAGTTTGTAAGTCATTTTTAAGTGTAAACTTATGGTTTTGAAGTTGATCATGTTACCAGATTGAACCTGAAACTGATATGAGTCGCAAAGAGGCCACTTGCTTTAGAGACGAATTCAAAATTTGAAACGATTCAATGCATGTGAACAACACAAGACAATAAATCTAAATAAAAAAATGTCCACTTTAGTGTTGCCTAGTTGTCGGCTGAAGACACAAACATGGAATCTTGACTTATGTAGAATGACATCTAAACATACTGTCCCATCTCTAATATTGGGATTGGGAAACAAACACCTAAGACAACTCTGATATACTCTTGAAGTAGGATTCTTCTTCCTCTATTACACCCTGCATGAACAACAAGGCTCCGTATTAGCAGGTTTTAAAGAACGTCATGATGCATCTTTAACTTCAAAACAAATTTTCTATCGTCAAACCTTGATTATCATTATGGCAGCATCCTTGTGCAAAACCTCATTGTACTCCTGACAAGAAATATTCTGCAATACTTAAAAAGTTATGACTTTCTGATCATTTCATATACAGGGAAAACGATAACATAAACTAATTGTCAATTAAGTACTAACTTGTACACAGTTAGGGCAGCCAGTATCGCCAGAGCAACAACATGATGCAAGAAGTTCCAAAGCAGCAGTCAGCAGCTCACTGAATATATGCTGCACCTGCCAGATCAAATAGTACTTTTTCTCAAAAGAGGTTGTGACAACACTGCATGTCCTAATTCATGCCGTAAGGCATTAGATAACTTTTGTCCATGGTTTAAGATCACAGACTAAGTTGCTTCGCATTTCCACTTGAATAACAGCCATTGGTTTTTGGTTTTAATACCACATCCCCTTTACCAAGTAGCAAGCATAAGATTTACTTTGTTCATTTGCTCAACCACAAAAATAATCAAGAGTTTCAATTGCTTTTTTAAACTTTACTCTTATTGTCGCTGAAGAGACTACAGATGAGATGAATTACATGTTTTCAAAAGTTTCCAAATGATAAACAAATGACCAACTTTCTTATGTTCTAGCAAAAGATGCATTTGAGCAAATTAAGTAAATGCAGGTCAAGTGTGGGTTCTTTTATAAATATTTGTAAATATTCTCTATGATGAAAAATCCACCTCTTACACTTGCAGACAAAAGCAGTTTCTCAAATGCTTTACATATTTTGGACAGTCTAAGTGGTTCCCTGACTACAAGTTCCAACCACATCATCTTATACAAGCCATTGCATGCTCTTCAGAGGAGCTCTGACTAACTTGATGGTTAAATATAATGAAAACCATTTCATCTTATTATTGAAAATTTCCTTAATTCATTACTTCAATAAATAACATCCTAATGAACTTCACAATCTATTTCAAAGCCTAACCAACTAAATACAGCTCCCTTTATCATAAGTTTCCTGGTATTCCTTCGAATCTTTACAAAATGGCACAATCGTCCAATTACCTTGCAAAATACTCCCTCCGTTTCAATTTGTTTGTCCTATTTTGACTTCACTCGGAGCTTAAGAAAGTAACGAAAACTTTTGAATCTTGTGGTCTTAAATTAAAGATATGTCAAATGTACCGAAATGTCCTTTCATCTTGTGACCTTGAACATGCTATGTGAAAAATTGGAATTAAAGAGTTGCTAAAAAAGAAGAGAGACACTCTTTTGAAACGCACTAAAAAAGAAAATAGGACAAACAAATTGAAATGGAGGGAGTACCATAATATGAGTAAAATCAAATCATCATGGAAAAGGAATCAAAAGCAGACATAGTTCACCTGTGCTGAAATGCCAGTCCCTCCAGGATGTGGATCATAAAGTAGAATTCTTTCTGGAACATTGCGGGAATCATAAGGGTTTACACACTCTGAGGCTAAATCAGATGAATTGCAAACTATGTACCTTCAGCACAAGTTTCAGGAGGCAATAAGAGAACAGTTCTAATATGTTAACTCAGACAGAGAACATGTTGAGCCAGATTCAAAACTCATGTGGTTGAAACTTACATAGGAACAACATTAAGAAGAGCATGACCAGCAGCATGTAAGCCTCCTCGGAATGAATAATTTAAGGTCTCTACAGCTGTCTTTATGGTCTGAGGAACTTGAATCCAGACAGCCTACATGTGCATTAAAGCTACAAAATTACAAAGAAGAAAGAGTACTAAAACAGTGATGAACAAACATCACACAGAGGAATTTCAGAAACAGTTCAAACTGGTATTCACCTGGGTTTCATATGTGTAATTAGGAAGTGAAAGTTCAACAGTGTCAAAGACTTGGTTGCTCTTTTTCCATATTTTGCGGAAACCGAACCACGTGGTCGTTACTCTACAACTTTGTGCTTGGGCAGTTGTTCTTGGAAGTTGCAGACTAGTAGTCCTTGCTGGGTAAGCCTACATAGTGGTAAAATATGTATCATGTCAATCCAACATTAACTGGGATGTAACAGCTGAATTTATAAATGACCTGGTATACAAAGAGTAACTTCACAAGTAGCATGCAATAAGCAATATGGGCATTTTCTTTTTCTTAAATAAGACCAATAAAGCATTTGTATTTCAAGATTAGACAGTTAGTTAAGGATCTCTCTATGACCGCAAGTGCATTCGAGGAGTTCTTCAGATGAAAGCAGGAAAATTTACCTATAAGCAGTAAACATGAAATGAAAAGGCCATGCTTCTTTAAATATCTACAATACTTTTGATGAAACTGGAAGTCCAGGGTTTTCCTCGACTAAAAATCTATTAACTCCGTGTATAATGAGAAGGCTAGCAGGACACATGTAATAGAGAAACAAAAAATCACATGAGAAGTAGTTGAAGAGGAAGGAAGAAGATGCAGAAAAGGTTGATCAAGAACACTCTGGATTACCCCAAAACATGGCCACGATCAAGTCATAGTGTTAAAAGATGAGAATTGGCAGCATTACCCAACTCTTAAGAATGAACAGCCGCAAATAAGAGAGTCAAAGAACTTTGTTCTTATGACTAGTCAGATGCGCATCTACTTTGCATCATAGTCTGAACACACCTTATTGCCAAGGATGAAACAACAGTACCATAAAGATTCCTCTTTGGAGGACAGAAACTAAGCTTCTTTGCTGTCACTAATTTGGGATAATGAACATCACACCCTTAACTATTTTTTGATAAAGATTACGCCCTTAACTATCTACACACCAATTCCTGGAGAGAGATTTGGCAGTAGAGCTCTAACACGTGGCAGAGATTACACAAACTGTAAGGGGTGTTTGGTTCACAAACAAGTTAGACCAGGTTTATAATACGAGGATTAGACAATAATGGGATTATTTTGGATCTGCTATTTTCGGTAGATGCTTGGTTCATTGTATTAAAACTGGTATCTACAAAGTATAATATAAAACATGTGTATGTATTAAAATATATAAACTTGACTTTATTTCCAATTTTAACCTTGGCATTCTTAATATTTTGGGAGAAGAGCTTTGAAAGACATTTTGGCTATTTGATTGTTTTATCCCGTGATAGCTAATCCCGAGATTTTTATTCCACATGGAATCTGGTATAAAAATAGTACCAAAATTTGTGGTATAACTAATTCTGGGATTTTTCCTATACCAAAACAAAAATCCAACCGAACATGGGATTGAATAATCCCAAATTCTATCCCGGGATTGTTATCCTTTATTCCATGGACCAAACGACACCTAACTAAACAGAGACCAAAAAACACCCACCATGAATTCTAGGGGTTAAGTGCTTTTTTTATAAAAAAAATGAGGCTATCTTTGAAAAACATGCAGAAAAATGAAAAGCACTACTTGAGACATACAAAGTTGGCACCAGTGACTTGGACATCAGTATAGTCACGAGTTTTGGTATAATATTTCAGGTCCGCTCGTTGGCACCAAGCAATTCTGTTTGCCACATCAAGCTCCTTCACAAGATACGTTTTCCCTTGATTCATATAATTAGCCCCTTCATAAACCTGTAAAACCATTTGGGCCTGAACTGATTAACTTGAAAAGGTAACTTCAAAAGAAGCCAAAAGACAACCTCAAGAATTGAAGAGTTCTGCTGCACCAAAATGATACACGCACACACATGTATTTTTGAAAACTAATATACACACACATGTATAACACACATGAATATAAGCATCACGATGATGATCTCTCTCTCCCTCTCTTTTTTCCTATTTATGGTTTTGTTCTTCCGCCTTCTGCCAATAGGAATAATCACAAGAACTTGCCGAATATAGTTAATATTACTTACCTGAAAGAAAGCCTTGCTTTCTTCAATTTCTTCCAGGAGTTCATTCTTTTGAATGTCAATCACTTTGTACCGCTCAGTTTCTATGGCTCGAATGCTAATGGCACTTGAGGGCATCTTCTGGTAACAGCATAGAATGGTTTAGAAAAGCTAATCACACCCAGCTCACAAGCACAGTATCGTTTAACACTACACTCAAAGGATCATACCTCCAACCCGATGTAGCTCCATATTCTAGCTGTAGCACTACGTGATATATCTGTACTCAGGATTCCCTTGTTTTTAAGTGCCATTATGATACTCTCCAAGCCAGAACCAA